TTCAGGTCTAAGTGGTTTAGGGTCATTCATAAGGGTTATATGGGTTGTCCTCTGAATCATGGGCCCCTTTTGGTTATGGATTATATTAAGGCACCTAACATTTGGAGGTACCAAAATCGGACTCTAATTTTGGGAATTATCCAACTGGCAGGAAAAGTTGGCGGTGTCCATCGGCCTCTTGATCAGACCTTGATCGTAGCCCCTCGGCCCTTTGCCCATGACTTTGACATAAACGAGACAAAATCTCCCGGCAGGACCTACAATTAACATCAATTTCTGGCCTGCCTCAGCTCCAAAACGCGCCATGATTCGTCCCACGGATCCCTTTTTCAGGTTCCGTACTTGTTAGTACGAACCACTGGGAAATGGTCAGAAGCCTGTACATACATTTATGTTCTCTAACCAGTCCAAAACTCGGAAAGACCATTCGTATGGATGCTGTCCGAGTGTAGCAACAAAGTCATCAAGCTAGTAACACGGTGGACTGCCAAATTCAGATATCTCATGCGCACAGGATACCTCCACTTGTGGCCAACGTCTGAGGGCGGCGCCTGCGCAAGGGGCGTAGCGTACCTCTTGCTTCCGGAGTGCACCTGGCTTCAAGAGGTTCCTGCGTTTTGATAAGCCATACACACATTATAGGAATAGACCCAGGGTTTAGCGCTCGTACCTTCATCGCACATCGAAGCCCCAAAGCTTCTCCAGATCTCAACCCTCTCAGAAGTTCCATTGACAGGTCTACCACAAGCTGGATCTTGCGGAGAATATTGACAATCGTTGCCCCAGTCATCCCAAACGACAGGAACACACTTGCCGCTGTCGCCAATGTTGGGCTTCATGTTTTCTTAAGTGGGGGAAATGCTGGAACATCCCTAAACCCTAAACCCTAAGCCCTTGACTCCAAACGGTTCAGGGTTTAGGGTATCTTCTTGGCCGCATCCCAAGGCACCATTCCGCATACTGCGGACGCCAGCATCGCCCCCAAGATCTGCCGGGAGGGACAAAAAAGCGGTAAGGGGTTAGGGTTCAGGGACTCATGCTAGGAGCCTCTCAGTGCCCTTATGTAGAGTGTATATGAGGACATATCACGATCATATTCTTAGGGTCTAAGGTTTAGGGTCTACATATTGAGCTACAGTCAATATTTCCCAGATAATTGAAGAGCATGGGATTAGGGACCATGATAGGGACTAAACTAAACTACAAAAGGGACCCCTATGACCACTGCGCAGGGTCCATTACCAAGCCAATATAAACAGTATCTCAAGGGGTTTATAGGGTCCCTGGAAGTGGGTACATAGGCCTGAATAGAGGGCAGCTGGAGGGTCTAGGTAGGTAGTTTTTAAGTAGGGTGATAGGCTTGGGGTTGAGGATTTACGGTTTAGGGTAGCTTTGTATGTTGCACAGAAATAGCCCGAGTAGGATTAAAAAGCTTGTAACTAAATCCAGAGACTGCAGGTGTGTTCAGGGCTTTTGCTGAATCGTTAAGAGCTTGTAGCGTATTATGAAGGCTATTAAGTGGGTGAAGTTCAGGGTTTCAGATTCAGGCACGGCTTCAGGCAATGGATAAAAGTATGGAACATCTTGCATGTTCGGGAAAATGCGAGCTTTGGAATGCGGATTACTGTATCACGCCGAGTGCAACTTTAACGTGAGGGGGCAGTCGTTTGCCCCCCGTGTCATCTTTAAAATTTCAGCCGTCCATGGTGCTTTTCGAAGGCCTGCAACGAAGAAAGGGGGTTGGCGCACCAAGTACACAGGTACCCCAAGTTATCTCGTTAAGGGCAGATGCTCTTCCTGAAGTCACTGGCATGGGCGCTTTGAGACATGAAAGTTCTTTAAGTACCGTGGGGACGGTAGCGGTGCCTCTCAAATACCTTACGCTTCGAGCACTGAGATATTGCAGACTAGGCTCTTAGCTCCTCAGGGATTTGGGCTAAACTGTCTGGCTCTCGGTAAAAATCTTGAGGCCCAACGCCCAAAATGATCCTATTTGGGCGAATTCCAAGAACCTTGACCAGGGTTTTGTGATTTTGGCGTCTGGATCCGTTTGGCTGGTGTTGTGGCCGGCTGCCCCGGCCAGTCGACCGCCCACTAACACAACCTCCAAAGATAGACTGAATATCCGTTGTCAGAGCCCCAAAACCAAGCAGGGTCTAAACTCAACCCCACGACCGAAACCTTCAACCCTCAACCCTACTCACCCCCGAACTCCCCGAACTGGCATAGAAGCAGAAAAGGAGCCCTGCAAAATCGCGGTCATTCCGAAGGAGGGCCTATGTGGGGATCCATGTTTATCTCGGGGAAAATGTCGAGACTCAATATTCTTGCCTGGGCAAACGTGAAGAATACGCCACCGCCTGGACTAGGGTAGGTTTGGGGTCCCCGCCAAGATTATGCGTGTAATGGCTGTATGAGGATTATCTCAGGAAGTTATGGTATTAAAGCGGAAGAAGATGTTCAAACCCGGAGACGGGTCACATCAGCGACTAACGGGTGCAACGTTTCAGCAGTAGATGGCTCGGCTTTGGGTATTTTGGGATTATGATGGTTGTTTATGGGTGGTTTGGGCCTTAGGGTTGTGGGTTTAGGGGTTCGTTGTCAGATGGCTTTGGGGCATGGGTTTAGGGTTTAAGCTTTGTCCCCAAGCCCAACTTCCCCATCCATCCTTACGGAACCCCTCGTATCTCTAAGTATCCCCATAAACCTTAAAACCTCTGCTGCCTGGAGTGGCACAAAGGACCATCAAGAAGCTGTTTATTCCACATACTTCCGACGTATAGGTAAGCCTCTACTAGCTGGTTGTTAGTACGGAATAAGGTACAATCCCTATATAATCCCTGCAGAATATATTCCTTGATTCCCTGCTAAGAACCAGTACCCTAAACCCTAAACCCTAAGCCCTAAACCCTAAACCCTAAGCCCTAAGCCCCCCGATCTTGCGAGTCCAGGCTGCGCATGTCTCCAGAATCGCTGCCGGTTCGCCAGGATGCTAACTCCTGGCACGTGCTAAGGAAGCAGGGTCCCTTCAAAAGGGGGTCATGTAACAGAGATGTAGGTAGGGTTTGGGGTAATTAAAGTTACTATGTTGGGATATTATCCCCCTATCATGGAGAAACCAATGGAAAAGAACACTGAAAATGAAATGGAAACTGGAAAAATGCAGCGACTTAAGGCATGGAATTTAAATTGCTATACTGGGGAAACCCCATTACTTACTATACATATATATATATACCCATTCTGGTACCTTAATTACTTAACATCAACCAAGTTTAAGGAGGTCATGTAGAGGAGATGTAGGGATACATTGCGGTGCTGTAGAGATATCTGGGGATATGGTCTGAGGGTTGTAAGTCTTATCCCCAACATTGCATGGCCAAGTGGCTAAGACTGAAAAATGGAATGGAAGTTGACGAATCACGTAGTGATGGCTATTAGGATGCAAAAAAAAAAAATTAACATAAACTCAGCGCGTTTTAGAAGTGGAAGGGTTTGGGGCTTAGGGTGGGGGATTTCGGGACCGGGAACTTCACGACGGTAGTCAAGAAGGAAAGCCAGAATGGGTCCTTCTTCAGCTGCCAGGGGAGCGGATTATGCCAGCCAACTATGTACCTGACTTCAGTAGGTAAAGCACAAGACTACCACTCTCTCCCAGCAAGTCCAAACACCCAAATAATGGAGCTTCGGCCCCAAATACTACAGTCTGAATGGTTTGTGGTAGCAGAAACACCACGATTAGCGTACCTGGACCCGAAGGGTCTATCAAACACTTTCCACTTGTTGTTTCTACTCTGGCTTTCGATCCCTCTCCCTTCAAAGACCGGTCATTGAAAATGGTCGAAGCGAGACCGAGTCATCGTCGTCATCCTCTTCGTCATCAACCCTTCCTTCCTTCCTTCCTTCCTTCCTTCCTTCCCTCCCAAGTTCATTCCTTCGTTCGGTCACTCATACTGTTGATTGAGTCACCGCCATGAAGAACAAGATCCTTGCAACCCTCATACTAACCAATGAGTTGGTTAGTCGATGATGCGGCCAATAGCACCTCTGCGGACTCTACACTAGACCCAGAACCATGCACCCTAAACACCCAAAAGATAACTTCCAGGTTCCATCTATGTAATGTTACATATTCTTTTCCATCTGATTCCACGCTTGTGCCGACAAATTCCTATGTAATGCCCAAACGGGGTTCCCAAAATTAAGGGTACCTTCCTGGGGGTCCCAATAACAAGGATTCTTATATTTGGGGGTTTATCTTCCCTCTATTTTGGGAAACTACCATATCCCTACAGAATCACTCAAACCTCAGCCCAGCCTTAAACCCCAACATCCACAAACCTTAAAAACCCTAGAAGCCCTGAACCCTAAACCCTCCTCTGCTGGAGCACGGCCGCTGGCGCGCACGGCAAGTGTGACCGCTGGGTTGAAGTGTGCCCCCGAGACGTCGCGCAGGGCCTTGTGCCACGAAATCCAGATAAGGGATTCAGTGAGGGTTAAATAGGGTCATATTGAAACTAGTATCTAGAGTTTAGGGGTCTGAGGTTTAGGGTTTCGGATTTAGAGTGGGGGTTTAGAGCTTACGGATGTTGTGGGAATGAGCGGACGGACGAGACGGACATTGCGCAGTGTAAATTTCTAGGAAGTCATGGAGGTTGTGTGGGGCCAAAAGCTAAGGGGCTAAGCAAAGCAAAGTTTGCGATATAAGGATTGAAGGTCCTGAGGGTTTTTGGAAGAGGCTGTATGACTATAATTCTTCTTGCGGTTGAAGATAACCCAATCAACCTCGAACCGTTTCCCAACAAAGCCACAAGGACGGCACCAACTACATTGACGCATCGGTGCAAACTTATCTTTTGAATGGGCTTGGGGATCGCATGCACAACAGTGGAGAATCACAGCACCAAGGGCCGAAACCAGTGATCACAGAACAGGCAGCAGATGATGATCAACGGGTCGGACGCATGCCATTTTCCTGCGAGTCAGGCTGTTCTGCTGCGTCAGCCATCCGCATCTTGCGCGACGCAAACCTAGGGTGTCCAAAGGCTGTAGGAAAGGCAGGGTTCTCAGTCATAGACATAGCACACCTTACCAGAACAATCTCGCAGAAGGCGATCAACATTCTAACTGCATCTCCTTGCAAACTCGAAAATATTTCCCTAGAAGCCGAACAACGCACTGGCCCAAATGGATCCTCGCAATAACCCCTAGGGCACCCAGTCCCCAAAGACCCTACAGAGGTCCCTAAATCCTTCCACGCCGCGGAGGCAGTCTTTCGCTTCTTGGCAGCGTTGACCTGATGAGGCCCGAAAGCAAGGGGCATGAATCAGGTCTAAGCTTGAGGTTCAGGGTTGAGAGATTCATGGTTGGGCCTCACGAGATGCATGGTTGGGCCTCACCTGCTCCTTTTGGAGAGTTCTTTTCAAACCTATAGTCCTTCCTTGAACAAAACTCGCAAGTTATCAACCACAACTCCACAGCTTGGAGTTCAGGAAGCCTGAAACCTCAACCCTAAACAAAATAGTAACGTCCATTTTTTCCAATTCTTTCTAACCCCCTACTGACCACAAGAAAGGCCCTAGCCTAGACACTAACGTAAACCCTAAACACATTCTCTTCACGGACTCCAGCCACCGCTACGGGCACGTCCTCCGCTGCCTTTCGGCGGCCTGCGCGTGGGCTTTAGCTTGTAGCGTTTAGGGTTTAGTTTTCAGGGCTTAGGGTTTAGGGTGTAGGGTTTATGGCAGACAAAATGGAAGGTACTGCATATTGTTCAGGGCTTCGGGTTTAGGTTTTCTTGCACGGCTTTAGGGAATTAGGGAAGGGATACCTATGGCAATCCATGTATCAGATCCGTTAATGATCCTGGGAAATCCATTCCATCAATAATTGTACATATATACGCCTCATGCCAGAGAGACAAGGTGAACTCAACTAATGTGATGACAACTGTGGATTAGGACTGACATTCTAGGATGTTCAACTTTTGATGTATACGGCTCATATAGAGGGCTAAACAGGTTTTTGAGGCCAGGAGCTCAGGGTTTCGATGTAGTGGTCCTTGCTTGTCCTCTTCAATTGCGCGGTGCCCTAGAAATTTGAGAGGGGATTCGTGGGCTCTTGGGGAATATTGAGGTCTGTATTACCTGGACCTCAGGAGTCGATAAAATCATGGCCCAAAAAGGGTCAAGAAAGCAAATATTCTGCAACCCTAAACCCTAAACTCTGCGGGTTTCAGCTGAGGGCTTGTCAAAGACTCTTGTGACAAACTCCAACACAACTGGACGTGCAGGCCTGGAACTCTTTGTCCAGAACCAGCGACACACTCTTCCAGTATGCGAACTCCTGCAAACACTCCAGTATCTAGGGTTTAGGGGTTTAGGGTTTAGGGGTTTAGAAGTCCAGGGTTTAGGGGCTCAGGGTGTAATGTCTCAGCACAACAGGCTGGGACCTAATTTAGGGTTGAAGGTTCAGGGTAAAGACTTTTAAGTTTAGCGTAGACGCTTTAGCGTTTAGGGCTTGGAGTGTACTATCATGCCCTAAACCAAGGCTTGTCAAAATTTAGTTACAATGGTATACTATGGTATATTATACTATATAATAAGATATCATGGTATGTTATGGTACATTATAGACATCCAACTCGCTATTCAGCTCAGAGCTAATTGGATCCACTAGCTAGGATAGCAGGCCCTAGAAACCTCAATGCCTGAACCAACTCCACGAAGCAGCCAGCTAGACTCCCAACCTAGGCAGGTATCAGCAGGGCCATAAGCAGGAAAACTATATCGCTAAGTAGGTATACCGTACTATACTCTGTTTGGGGCACCCTTACCTCTTCTCATAGGCAGCCCAAACCGGACCCTCATACCCCAATATCCGCTTGAAGGATGGACCCCTAAACCCTTGAACCTAAACCCTTTAAACCCTTAAACCTAAACCCGTTAAACCCCTAGACCCTTTAAAACCCTTTAAGCCCTTAAACCTAAACCCTAAACCCTAAGCCAGAATCCCCTCCTGGAGTGCTGAAGGCCTCCGTCCGTGTGGCAGCGGGCGGGGCTTCTGCTTCCGCTGTCTCAGGCAGTGCTTGAGGGCTTAGGGCTTGGGATTTAGGGCTTAGGGTTTAGGGTTTAGGGCTTGGTGTTTAGGGCTTAGGGTTTAGGGTCTAGGGCTTAGGGTTTAGGGCTTCAATACCCCTGGGGTTTAGGGCTTCAATACCCCTGTAGTCCACGTGTGTTATTCGTAGGGTCTGCTTGAGGGGTCAGGGGACTTAGGAACTACTTATAGCTGGGCTCAGAACCATCCTAAGAATTGGGGTATCCCACATCATAAGGCTATTTAGGGGATTCTAAGTAAGGTCATAAGCCGGATTATAAGTAGCCACTAAGTCCAATGAACAAGCATAGTCCCTATACATTCTTAGGGTTTGTAAGGGGCCCCCGTTTTGAGAAGGTCCCGCACCTTGGCGCGGGGTCGGCGGAAGACGGGGCGGCTGGGAGCCTCCGCAACCTCCTGCGCACAAGAGGTCTTGAGCCCTTCCCCCTGGCGGTTTAGGGTTTAGGGTTCAGGGTTTAGGGGTTTAGCGGCTTAGGGTTCCCGATGTGCCACTATACGAGCTACAGTGAATGTTCTGCGGATGATTAATGGACATGGGCTCCTTATTAGGGAATTCATTAAGGACAAAGCAAAACTACAAAAGGTACCCCTATGTCCACCCGCAGTAGCTCATATGCACATACTTATATTTATATATACATATACACACACATACGAATATATACGTATATATACACACACTATATACAGCTATCTATAAGCTATATAGATAGATAGATAGATAGATTGATTGATTGATTGATCGATCGATCGATAGAGACATACGTCCACCACCAATGTGTATAGGGGCACTTGGGGTTTTGGGGTAGTCTAGGGCTTTGAGGGGAACTTCGGTCTTTGCCTCTGGTTGTGGGCTGAACTTCTAGCACGTATCCCTAAACCCTAAACCCTAAACCCTGACCCTCAACCCTAGACCTGAAACCCTTAACCCTAGGATGTAAAGGCTTTGGGCTCCGAGCATGGGGATAGGATTTGGGGATTGAGGCCACAGCGAGCATTCTACAAAGTTTTAGGCTTGTGGGCTCCATGGGATTCAAGTTGCTAATGATACGGTCTAATTAGGGCTTGGATTTCCATATGGTGCATGGTCGCGGGGAGTCGGCTTCATGTTTTGAAGCTCCCTACTGAGCTGAACCATTCAAGATATGATGGATCCCAAGAACTAGATCTTTTTGACAGACCTGGTCCTCCGTCTGGGTGGCTGTGCCTTCGCGCGCCTCACGCCGCTGACGCAGGATCGCAAAGAGGTCCTGGGCTGTAAGCGCTGAAAAACCTCCTAGATTGGGCTGCTGGAGGGGTTCGCAAAATTGTGGATAGCTTTTGAGGAGTACCCTATAGTATTGAAGGTTCCCCCGTGAAAGAGCTTACATAGGGGTGGGCTTCTTTCAAAATCAGTATGAGGGGATTTAAGCCCCCTAAACCTCAAACTATTACCAGCGGTCTTACTGTACGCAACCCGTAAAACTTAAACCCTAAACCCCAAACTATCACCAGTGGTGTCTTATATATCCCCTAAAACCCTGAACCCCCAAACCTTCAACCCTAAAATCCTAAACCATTCCTAAACCCTATAAAAAAAAACCTTATATAACCCCTATGGTATCCTTATATACCCTATATAACCCCTATATCCCCCTTTAAAGGAACCCTAAACCCTATAATATGCCCTATAAACCCCTAAACCCTAAACCCCCTAAACCCTAAACCCCATAACCCTCTATATAACCCCTATATCCCCCTTTAAAGGAACCCTAAACCCTATAGTCACTACAGCTAGGCCGCGGCGGCGGCCTTGCGGTTGTCCTCGGAGCTGGTCTGCTCGGTGCCCGCCAGGCTGTGCAACTGCCTTCATCATTTGGGAGTTTCCATTAAAGATTCAGGGTTTAGGGTTTCAGGTTTTAAGGGTTTAGGGTTTTGGGGTTATAGGGTTTTAGGGTTTAGGGGAATTTCCATCATTCGGGAGTTTCCAGGGGTTCAATAGGGATGATGAAAGAGAAAATGGAAACTGGTATCATGGGTTATATAGGGTTTAGGGTTTAGGGGTTTAGGGTTTAGGGTTTTAGGGTTTTAGGGTTTGGGGAAGTTTCCATGAGTAGGGGGACACGAATAAACGTCCCAAAATACTGTTTTCTTCAGAAGGTTCCCAAAATTCCAAAATTAGACGTACCTTTTGGGGATGATGGGAAAAGACGAAACTACTATTTGGTATTTATTGTTGAGCCTCCAACAGAATTGGGGACCGCCCAAATACTACAACTCTATGACCCTTAAAACAGGAAACCCCCAATAAAGTTCCCCGAATTTCGGGATACCCCCATCGGGGTCTGGGGGCATGTGAGGTCTGGGGGAATGTGAGGAAATACTGGGTTTACAGGGTTTCCTTGCATATCCGAAGGCGGGCATGAGGTTCCGAACGTTTCAGAGATGTCCAGAGGCAATACGTAATTTTGGTTGCAGCCGTCGAAGCCGTTGAAGCCGTGAATTTGAAAAGCCCTTCAAGCCGTTGAAGCCGTTGAAGCCGTGGTTTTGGCTGAA